CTTCAATTCTAAGCAAAAAAACTTTCCATTATTAACACTCTTGGTCCAAACTGTAAAGGATGAAAGTACCAATGTGTAAAGATCTGGTATCTCTCACATGGCACTGGAGAGTAGTGTTATATCTTGTGCAGTTTCCGGTGTATATGTTCTGCAATGGATCCAAAGGAAACCTGACACCTCCTGAAGCATTGTTGCAACACTTTGTACTGGTTACTTTTGTTGGGGTGTACTATGTGAAGGTTGTCTTTGTATTATTCAATTGTTAATTCTATACTGGCAGAGAGTTGAGGACTGGCCAGATTTGGGTATTATTGTTCTTATGGTTCATCCCCTGCCTCAGCATTTTATAAACGTACACCTTCCACAATCATTGATTGGCTTAATACAGATCTGATGGCCAGTAGCTGGGAGGAAAGAAAGGGCAAGACTTCTGGTCTGAGAGAGGGTCTCAGGGAGAAGAATCTAGGAGGGAAGATTCACCAGCAGGACACAGAGGAGGTTGGACATACTGGAGGTGGGGGGAGAGAGGGAGGGAGGGAGAGAGAGGGAGGGAGGGGGGTGTATCTGGCCACACGCAGGATGTGGATTAGAATAGTCAGGTTAATTAAGTGAGATGAGGTACCCAGGAGTTAGCCTAAGCTAGGCCTAAGGTATAATAACATTAAGTCTCTGTGCCATTATCTGGTGGATGGCAGGTTCAAGAAAATCCAGCAATATAGTTTTATGTCCACTCAATACAAGCTAGAGTCATCTGGGAAGAGGGAACCTCAACTGAGAGAGAATGTTCCCAGGATATTGATCTGTGGGAAAGCCTGTGTGTAATTTCTTAATAAGTGATTAGTGTGGGAGGGCCCAGTCCATCGTGGGTGGTGCTACCCGGGTGTGATGTGTATGAGAAAGCAGGCTGTCTAAGTCATGGATAGCAGTAAAGAGCACTCCTCCATGGCCTCTGCTTTAATTCCTGCCTCCAGTTTCCTGCTTTGAGTTCCCGCCCCCAACCTCCCTTCATGCTGGGCTGTGATCAGGATGTGTAACCTGTTCATGATGTTTTAATCACAGCAGTAGAAGCCCCAGAGCACTGTTAAACACGGAGGAACATTGGGAACCCACTAAATGACTATAACGAGATAAAGGACGGATACATTTTGGAATAAGCATTCAGTGGTCGTCTACTGGACGGTAGAGAAGAGAAAATGATCCAATGAAAATTATGTGTACCTGCATGGACAACTAACAAAAAATTAATGTCAAACAATCGAAGAGAGATATGAAGATAAGTTTAAGGTATGAGGCTAGTCCGACAAGGTTTAGAAACAAACAATATTACCATCATTCGTGTACATCTAAGGAACATGGGCGTGACAAGCACCAGATGCTCTCTGGGGAAGAAACATGGAGGAAGAGAGTAGAGCCAAGAGGTGGTGTACAACAAGCTTAAACCTTACCATTTTATTTTGTATTAAAACGTACAGAAAGCATGAGAGTGTGTGGGTAGCTATGGTAGGTGGGTGGTTTGTCTAACCCTGTGGTCAGTCCTGGATAACTACATGGATGAGCAATGCTAACTTAACCAGGCAGGGTGTGTGTGTGTGTGTGTGTGTGAGTGTGTGTGTGTGCACTTGTGCCCATGTACATGTGTGCATGTGTGCACACATGCATGCACATGTGTGTAACAATAATTAAAGAAGGAGTTGTTGCTTTGGGAGGGAGAGAAGGGACACAGGAGGAGTTGGGGGACAGGAGAGGTAATAGTAATGGGAGATACAGTGCTCATCTGTTAGGAGCCGCGTCTGCCATTGCAAGATGGTGCCGGTTTCCTGCTTCCTGGTTCTTCTTGCGAGCCTTGCTTGAATGTGCGCCTGCGCAAGGCGCGAAAACCAGTATGCTAATTTGGCGACATCATAAGAGCCAATGAGTGTGTGGCACGTCTCCTAAAGCTCTATATAAGCCATAGGCTTTTGGGGCTTGGGGTCCCTCGCCTCACTACCATCTAAGAGAGCTGTAACACTAAAAGAGCTGTAACAATAAAACTGCTGTCAGAAGAATCCTGAGTGTGGCGTTCTCCTTTTCGGCAAGGCGGCGCCCCGCACTCATCTATGAAGCTCTCAAAAAGAATAAAATTTTAAAAATACTGGATGATAAAATACTTGTTTAACTCTAAATACTTCTTTTCTGCCCTTGAAGTATACATATAGAAGAACAAAAACACTACCACCACCAATACACAAACAACCCTTTAAGGTCTTAGAGCTCAGGACCGGTGGATTAGAATTGGACTCCCAGTTGCTCCGGGTCCGGGGTCCATGCTACTTTGTCCTATGTCAGGGGATGTGTCTGACCTCCTTCTCCTTTGTCCCGTCAGTGAACCCTGCTGGAATCTCTCTCACCAGATCTGCAAACTCTACATCACCTTCTTTAAGTGTCTATTACCCCGAAGGCTCATTCCTTCCCATCTGGGATATCGCTCTGTGCGCCATTGACTTTTAACTAAATGTTTAGTGAATGTTGGAAGGAGAATGGGACAACTAGGAGACCGTGTAATACTGCAACAAAAACCAGCGAAAGACCCAGAAAGCTTGCATGAGAGTGTAAAAAGGGTAGGAAAGTACATCAGAGATGATTTTATAGCTTCTAGGAGAGGGTGAAGAACAACAAGATTCAGAGAAGCCTGGTGGCATGAGCCTGTCTGGAGGGTTTACTGTGTGCTATGGCCATACCCAAGCATTGCAGGTGCTAATTCAAGACCCTCCTCCCAAAGCCTGTGAAGGACTTGCTGTTATTGTTACTTTGCTGTTATCCTCACATTTTATAAAGGATGGCATGCAAAGGAGGCGGGCTAAGTACCTAGGGCTTTGAACCCTGAACACACGCTTCTAAGTCCGTGCAGTCCGTCATGATAGCAGGGACTAAGACAGGGTGCACTAACACCTTTGTTAAACATATAGATGGGGGCGGGGCGAAACTTTAAGGCGAGCATGTTCTGCTTCTTTGCTAAGGCTCAACACAGAGACACAGGCTGAGGAGCTCTGATGACCACGCTAGGCAAGGGAGGTACCTACATCAGCCAGAGGGAATCAGGGAAGGGTTTGATGGCAGCAAAGTCAGAAATAAATATAACAGATGAGAAACCAGTCCGGTCTCTTATGGTCCTAGGGAAGCATCTCTAAACTGCAACCGTTGCTTGTCTGAACTCTACACACTCGACATGGTTACTGTCACTTGAAATGCTAGTACTCTTGCTTTAATTGTCATTTTCTACAGGGAAAGGTGAGGCTTTATTATTATTTGAGAATTTTTTTCCCTAGGCAATTAATGGAAGCCTAGAAGGGTTTAAGAGAATAATTGTGGAGGGGACAGACTCAGGATAGCTGCTAGGATAAACATCTGAAAAGATGGCCCTGGAGCTCAAGGTGGCCTGGAGCAGGACAGACCCTGGGAAATGGAGTGACTCAGAAGAGGGAATGAGGTCAGGGGACAGAGAGCAGGAAATAGGAAGCTGCCACTTCGCTGGTTAGTGGATACTGTCAATCTGTCAGTCAGTCAGTCAGTAACTAAGCGTCTTCTACAGCCAGCCAGCCCCTCTCCCCTCTCCTTAAGGCAAGAGAAGACAGCTTTGCTACACACCCAAAGGTCGTTTTGCTCTGTCCGTTTTCTGTGCACCTCCCAGTATCTCACGGTCCCCTGTGAACTGCTCCCCCTCCTTCTCAGGCTCCGCCCACTTCCCAGCCTCAGCCCCCATCTCTGCAAACCACAGAAGCTTACCGAACGAACATCCCCCTTCTCAGAACCAGCTTAAAGAGTCACTTGCTACGCGTTTGTACTATGCTTTATTCTGGGTCTTCCTAAAATCCAAATACCAATACATAGACAGATAATCACATAAGGTGGTGTGTGATCGTGTCACGTGACCAACTGACCAACCCACACAAGAGAGGCCAAAGGGAATGAGACGCTTGCGTAGACAGTCCGTTGCTTCAAAATAAATAAATAAGTTCATTAATTAATTAAAAATTATGAATTCTTTTTAAATGCTAATATGTAAAACATTTCTAATCTTCAGAAATGAGGATTACAAGGTTGTCTTTTGTCCTGGAAGATGAACCAGCATTTCTAGATTTGTGACTATAAGAAAACGAAATCAATCATTCTTACCATTCACTATTGAGTCATTGCTATGGGTGGTCTTACTGGGGCTTACGGGAGCCATTTCAGGCTAGTGAATGTAGCAGAGACCTGTTTGAGCCCAGAAGACATGACTTCTCTCGTTTGGCCCTTTTATCAGCCAACTGGAGAAGCCAACTTTAAGGATATTGATTTGAATTTAATTTCGATTTTCTAAACAAAAATTTAGAAATATGCCTTAATCAGCAACATGGATTGGAGAAATGGAACACAGCAAAAACAAACAAGAGGTTTGTCACTTACTGGAGCTGATCCTGTAGGGAATTAATCAGAAATCCTATACATTTTTATTAACTTTCCCTGTTATTTTTCTGTTATTAAAAAGATCAGTTGGTTATCCAAGACCTATGGTGTGAGACTTAGCACCCTTGCCTTAAAGGGCATCCCTAACTAAATCCTTTTGCAATAGAGCCTAACCAAGTCCATTCCCACAAGTCTCCCCGGGATCACGTCACTAGAATAGGTCAACCAAAGCTTGCTATGGACTCGAGTCCAGCTGGATGGAGGCTTTAAGTGCTTTCTTCCAGCTGGTTCTGAAATCTCAGGAAGAATGTGTGAGCTTCCAGAAACAAGCAGATCTTTTGAGCAACCCCTTTCCCTGAACTGACTTGGAACATCCGTTCTCTTGAGCTTCTTCCCATTCCGTTCAAGCCCTCCTTTCTCCCGTCCCTTCCACCTCCTATCAGAAACACGAAAAACATCGCCCACTTGCAGCATCTCCTAATTCCACCCACAGCAATGCTACATTTAAACAACACATGTTTATTTGTTTTAAAATGTACTCTGCCAAAGGCCCTCTCAAGGAAAAGCATCCTCACCCTCCTGGTGCCAGTCCAAGTGCTATTTTTCTCTCAGGCTCTTCTCTTCCTGGATGACTACACTTTTGGTTGGTGTTTCTCTGCAAGAATGTTCAAGAGCTCTTTAAGAGTCAGAAAAGCTACCTGAGTTTGCAGGCAGCTTCCTGTGGGGGTCACAGCCTGCAGAGTGAACAATGACTCCTTGCACAGAGAATGGGCAAGGTGTTTGAAAAAACAGGAAGCACCTGCCAATGTGTGACTTTCTTCCTGGAAGCAGAGAGCTCACTCTGAGGTGGTTCTAGATGCTTCTTTCTGCTTCCACTATGACCTCTAAGACTGTGAAGTACCCTAGATAACAAGGAAAGACTTGTGAAGGGCAGAGTTATTTGGAGACGATGGTGCAGGGATGAGAATGATGGCTTCCATAGCTTCTCTACTTTTCCTTTTTGTTGTAGAGATTTGTTTGTGTAGAAGTTAACCTGGGTGATCATTGCAATGGGGAGAGTCCAAGCACATGAGAATTGGGAGGTAACATGTTTGCTATTTATTATTGCAGGTTCCTGTAACAGGAACATGAGTTCATTGATTGATAATTTATTCAGTGAACATGTTCTATGTCAAACATGAAGAGAGACCTTAGGCATGTACAGGGGACAACACAAACATGTATTCCTGTACCCCATGTTAGCCTTAACATTACCTATAAGGTGCCATGTTTCAGATTTGTGTTTTCACTTTTTAAAATGTTTATTTTATTTTATTTTATTTTATTTTATTTTATTTTATTTTATTTTATTTTATTTTATTTTATTTAGTATGTGTAAGGGAAGGGGTATATACTCGCTCGTTCAGAGGTCAGAGGACATTGTGCAGGATTTGCTTCATGCGGTTTTAGGGAATTAAACCCAGATTATCAGTCTTGAAGTAAACACTGAGTCACCTCAGTCCTTCACAGTTTCTTTTCTTTTCTTTTTTCATTTTGTAACTTCTTGTATGCATGTATACAATGTAGCAATGTGTTTAATGGAAACACCACTGAGATCAAGACCCCTCCTTGAGTTTGAAAGTTCTAGGCTCTTGGAGATAGCTGGTCAGGCCAGCTTGTGATGGTATGTGCTAGCTACATCTAGGCCAAGCAAGTCATACCTCTGTTAGTTAATTAGACTAACCAATCCCTTGACTGGAGACTTGTATACCATATACAAGTGTACATGGTATATTAGCTACCATGCTAATATACAAGTGGCCACAGAGAAATGAATTAAAGACTCTCAAAAGAAATATGACCTATCATGTTGGTTTGCACAATGTTCGTAACTGTTTTCATAGCTGGAGGGTAGAGGCCATATGAATGACACGGGTAAATAATGCAACCCTCATCTGGGTGTGGAGGACAGTATGCATGCTTACCATGTCTTCTGTCTCCAAGGACTTCAGTTTCTTCATTTGGAAATGTAAAACTGGGTGGAATAATCCTACCTATCCTTTCAACGTGTAAATTTTTTTGACATTTTAGGCAAATCTCTTCCCCACTTCTTATGGAAACACAAGACTCAGAAAATTGCCCAATGAAAGTGGCACCTCAGGAGAGAGCTTAAGTACATGGTTTCCTTGGGTGACTAAACAAAGCGTTGAGAGGGAGGAGTGACTATGAAGAACCAGGTGAGAAAAAGCTTCAGTACTTTCTCTTGCTCACCCCTAGGAAACAAAGTGCTTCCAATGAATCCAGAGCAGCCAAACAGTGTGCTTGAGAACGGACCATTCCTTGGGAACCGACATCACTACAGCGGATAAGGTTTCAAAGCTCGTTTGAGTAGAACGTTATTTCACTTGTATTATGTAGTAAGCAAAGGTTCGTGAGTCCTTGAATCTCATCAGGACCTCAATCGGAGTAACTACTTCCTGCATCTTTCTGACTAAGTTTCCTGCATTACAGACAACCTAATTGATAGCTGTTCTATTCACTCACACACTGCTCTTCACAGCTAGGCAGAAGAAGCCCCAAAGAATAAGGCCCTCCTCTCTGTAAGGGGGTCGGAGGTTCTGAAGGGCACTCTGTACACCGCATGAGCTTCAAGGACAATGAGGAAACATAAGAAGAAACACCTCTTGTGACTTATAGTGCCCATACCAGGATGGAAAGGCTCATTTTCATAAGAAAAATTTAAAGAAAATGTTATTCTGATTAAGAACAAACTCCAAGGGCTAAAGCACTAGCCATTTAGAAACAAAGTGATTTGCTTTTGGTTTGTGCTTTTGAGACAGGGTCTCTCTACATAGCGCTGGCTGTCCAAGAACTCACTATGTAGGTCAGGCTGGCCTTGAACTCAGAGATCTACCAGCCTCTGCCACCTGAGTGCTGGAATTCAAAGTGTGTGCCACCATACCCAGTCAAGAGGCAGACTGATTTTTGACTTGGAAATGATTCCCCCGGAAAATCAAAGGAGACAACAAGTGAACTGTTTTCAGCAAACCTGCGGGCATAGCTGTGTAAATGCTGTAATCAAAGCTCTTTGACGGTTTGAATTTGAAATTCTCAAGATAAATGCCGCTGATTTGTTGGTAGGCTTCACTGAAAGAAAGAGCAGTGACTGAGGAAGAAGCTGGGTTACATTCCAACTCTGTCACGTACTAAGTGCGTGAGCTTCTGTGCGCTGTTGGGCATTTTTGTAAGATCAAGTTTCCTTTCTCATAAATGGAAGTAATTTCCATACTTACTTCAAACAATGGTCACGAGAACTGAGTTATGGGAAGTGTCACAGAGCAGGGTAATTATCTCCCCAGGTTCTAATGCTGGATTGGGACAGGAGCCAAGAGACATAAGGTTGATGTTGGAAAGGTCATTTTTGTCCCTGGCACCTTGGACACCAACAGTGTGAAGATTCTACATGCCCTGCTTTTGAATGGCCCCCATATGGCCCTTCTGAGTAACCGACCATCAACTCGGGGAGGTGTTCTCCTGGCTACACACATGAGTTTCCTCAACTTTGCATCTGTTCCTTGGGAAGAGAAGAAAATATTTTTTCTAAGATTAGAGTGAATTTCACAAGTGACCAGTTAGTTGCTGACTGATTTTTAATTTGTCTTAAAGGACACTTTCCACATTGCGTGAATGACTAAAGGCATCCACAATGAATCTGGCTATTATCTAAATGGTACCGGCAGGGATGGGTAGAATGAAGTCCAGGACTGACTCCATTAACATCCACTAAATGGATGTCCTGGGACAAGAGACTTCTCTTTGCTGAGTTTGTTTCCTTTACATAAAGTATGGACAACAGTAGGATCTTTCTCATAGGGCTCTTGAGAAGATCTTGAATTGATTGGAGAAAAAGAAAAAAACAGAAGAAAAGAGAAAGGATAAGAGAAGTGAAAGGAGGGAGAGAGAAGGAGAGGAGAGGGAGAAGGAGAGAGGGAGGGGAGGGGGAGAGAGGAGGAGAGGAAAGGGAGAAGGAGAGAGGGAGAGAGAGGGGAAGAGAGGGGGAAGGGAGGAGGGAAGGGGAAAGAGAGGGGGGGAAGAGAGGAGGAAAAGAGGGGGGAGGGAAAGAAGGAGGGAAAGGGGAAGGACAGACGAAGAGAGGAAAGGGAGAGTAGGAGGGAGAGAGGGGGTGGGAGAGAGGGGGAGGAAGAGGGAGAGAGGGAAAGGGGGAAAGAGAGAAGAGGAAAGGGAGATGGGGAAAAGAGAAAGAGTAAGAGGGGGAAGGGAAGAGGAAGGAGAGGGAGAGAGGGGGAGGGAGAAAAGGGGAAGAGGAGAGGGAGGGGAGGGAGAGGGGAAGGGGATATAGGAGGAGAGGAAATGGAGAGGGGAGGGGGAAGGGGTAGGAAGAAGGAGAGAGCAAGATCTTATATATGCATCTTGTTTGCGTGTGTCAAGGATACACTCAATTATATTTTAAATAAACTCTAACATAGCACCTACTGTGCATTATGTGCTATGTTAAATTTTAAAGCTAAAAGAATGTTCCAGATTACTGGCTTAAGTTGGAAAGCACAAATAAACATACTCTTTATCACTGATTAATACAAAGATGGACTGGAAGAGGTCTCAAGAATCGGAAGAAGAAATCTGAATGTGCTACTTGGAAGAGAAGAAGAGTTAGGAATGAATGGTTAAAGGCATTCGTGACACATTGAGCTATTGTCTTAACTCTTATCTATGAAGAACGTTGTGAACAGAGAGGAGAGATTTAGTTCTAGGGTTTCGTTTACAACCAGTAACTTTTGGGATCCTCCACAGGAGCTGCTGTCACTTCTCTGAGCTGTAATAATTGTGTTGGGGTTGGACAGACTTGGTATCCCATAAATTAAGATTGGCAATGTTCATAGTTCTTCCAGATCACCAGCCTGAGGACTGAGATATACAAAGCATCTAGAATAAAGCGCTTATCTACCGTGTGGTTATCTACCCTGCGGTTATCTACCCTGGAGTTACCTACCCTGGCCCTAGTGTTGGATTGAGGCCTGAGATTGATGTTGGAAAGGTCACCTTTCTCCCTGGTACTTCCAACAACTCCAACGCAAAGACTTCTTTATTTACTACTCTGTTGATTCAAACAGTAGCGTCCTCCATGAATTCAACCAAGAACATACTCTCTCTGGGCATCCTGTAGCCCAGTTAACACACAAAATTAGCAACTGCAAGCTTCTAGTCCCTAAGACATAAGGATTTGACTTTATTTAGAAATGGGGTCATAGCGGATATAATTATGCTAACATGGTACTAGAGTAGGATCCGGTATCCAGGAATCCAGTATGATCTGGTTTACTAATGAAAAGCTGGAATTTGGATATATGTGAGGGGGGCCACAGAGAAAGAAAGAACACTTTTCTGACGACAGTGTGAGACATCGGTGTAAGGAGCCAGATCAATCCAAGACTTCCCTAGAGGCCCCGATGGAAGGACAAAGGGACTTGGTTCTGTGTCTTTGTCCAAGAAAGGACTTCACAAGACCTGTTTGCTGCTGGAGTCAGTCCCCCCACTCCTCCCCTGTGCCATGGTTAACAGTCCTAAGACAACTAAACCTGAGGTCTCCCATGTTCTCTTTGCCCACACTGTCTCACCAAGTTCTCTGCTGATACCGGTCATTTCCTCCCTTATAAATACCGTATCTGATGCTATACTTCTTAGAAAACATG